ATGGAACTTGTAGTTTGGTGAGGAACCAGGAATCTTTGCCAGTTAAGACTAAATTCCTTATAAAATTAGAAATCCCAGGATTCTATACTATTGAGGCATGGCAGTAAAAGTGGTGTCAAGCTGCATTACCTCTGTCTACAGTGTAGATGTATAACTTAATGAACCTATACAGTAATACCTTGGCATATAAGTTTAATTTGTTCTGTGACCAAGGTCGTAACTCAATTTGCTCATATGTCAAATCAGATTTCCCCATTGACATGAATTAAAATGCTATTAATCCATTCCAGCCCCCTTAAAACCATGCCAATTTTGTTATTTAGCTTCAAGATCAGAGAAGATGCTGGTGGAGGCAGAGGAGACCACTCAACCCCTCTCCCCCATCCTGGCCCCACTCATGATTGGTGAGCCAAGAACAGCTCCAAAGACATAGAATCATAGAATCAAAGAGTTGGAAGAGACCTCATGGGCCATCCAGTCCAACCCCCTGCCAAGAAGCAGGAATATTGCATTCAAATCACCCCTGACAGATGGCCATCCAGCCTCTGTTTAAAAGCTTCCAAAGAAGGAGCCTCCACCACACTCCGGGGCAGAGAGTTCCACTGCTGAACGGCTCTCACAGTCAGGAAGTTCTTTCATGTTCAGATGGAATCTCCTCTCTTGTAGTTTGAAGCCATTGTTCCGCGTCCTAGTCTCCAGGGAAGCAGAAAACAAGCTTGCTCCCTCCTCCCTGTGGCTTCCTCTCACATATTTATACATGGCTATCATATCACCTCTCAGCCTTCTCTTCTTCAGGCTAAACATGCCCAGCTCCTTAAGCCGCTCCTCCTAGGGCTTGTTCTCCAGACCTTTTATCATGAAGCATAGATTGCACTGTAGTACTGAGCTGCAGATGCCTGTGTGTCCTCCCTCCCTTCCTCTCTCCTTCCTTCCATCCTTTGTCCTCTTTCCCTCCATTGTGTCTTTCTTCCTTCTTCAGTGGGGGGCATGTACTTGGTTTAGGGGTGAAAGCTGTGTGTGTGCCTTCTGCCTGCCAGCCAGCCTCTCATGCCCAAAATGGTGGCAGAGGCAGCAGCCTTTTAGGCTTCTCAGGAGACAGCTTGGGGAACTCGTGATGCCGATCTCGGCTTGCACTTCAAAGGCAAAAATTGAAGGAACTAAAGCTTATATTTCAGAAAACTCATAAGTGGGATGCTCATAAGTCGAACTTCCACTGTATTTTGAAAGTCACATTTGTGTTTGCATTATTAAATCTCTACTGTTCTTCTCATCAGTCAATTACTAAGGAACTGATGTCTCTTAGGTAACCATCCTAGGTGTGCTAATTGCAATGCAGGTTGGTAGGCATAGAGGTAAGCACAATATTAGTTTATGATAGAGTTTTTAAAAATCCATCATGCTACAAGTGCTGGATTACAAATCCCATACACCTCAGGTTTCATAGTCAGGGATGTCTCCTAAAGTAAATATGGTGAACAAATATCAGCACGTACTATCAGTACATGCCAGTTAAATGGCTTGAAACTGCTCCCTTCTCAAATTGAACAGTTGACAGCTCAACAACACTTGGCCATTTATTTTTATATCTAAGCACTGACACATTTTATTATACTTAGCAATAGTTCAGCTGAAAGCATACGAGCTTGTGACATAAAGCAGTCTTTGGCACTCAAAGCAAAAGCAGTTCCTGCGTCTGTGTATGAAAACATCCTTACCTTCCTGTACCTTGCAAAACTATGTTGTTGGTTGGTTTTAACAAATAACACAGCACTCTCTAAGCAGACACTGTAGTGAACAGGATGTGATGCAGAGCTCTGAACACTGCATGTTTTTGAGGGCTCTCTGGCCATCAGCCACATCTCAAAAATCTTTAACTAGACCCCAAACTTTTTCCACATCATGATGATTACCATGTTTTAATTACATTTAAGCAGCCATGTATTCTCATCTCTCTAAAGACAAACTGCCAAGAGAGAGAGATTTACCATCAACTGATGATGTTTTTTATGTAAATGTACTTGACTAAGTGCAGTAACCCCAAATTTTAATACTTTCAATCTATTACCAGGTCTGCAGTATTTATATATGACCAAGATGAATTGGGTATTTACAAAACAGCTCCATTATAGAGGAACAATTCTCCAAGTGTAAATCACCATTTCTAATCAGAGTACTAGTGCGTTCCTCTCCACCCCTGCCCTTGTTTATTTTTTCTTGATTTACATTCTCAGAGATGTTTTTTAATGTGGCTGCTCTGTTGGACAATGCCGCGCCCAGTTATGTCTTGTAGCAGATTCTTCTCAAAAGCTCTTGGGTGTTTTAAGTGTCTTATCCAAACCTTCAACGGGACAGTACAATACGGGGAGAGTCTTTCCAAACATTGTGTTGCAGATTTCACTTTGTCTCTTTAATTGTTCAAACAGCCTGATGGGAGGAAATGGAAGAGAAATCTCCCCAGGGCCTTTGTTCCCCACCCGCATGCCTTGTACATACACTTTGGGAATGAGGGTAAAAGGTCAGATGCCCCTCAACATGCCATTCACAAGCTGCTGACATCAGCAGTCACTCATGAGAGCTCGCTGTATTTACTGACAGTGCTAATCTGAAGAGACGCATGAAGTAGTTTGGTTTGTGGAAGAGGGCATGAGCCGCATGGTGCTGTGCAAACATTCCCACACAGTCTGATCGGTCATTTATGCTGAAAACAAGTGAAAGTCTTCATGTCATGGACAAAGTTCAGCATAGAGCCAACAGGCTCTCAAGAAACCAAGGGCATGATAAAATAATAATAGGGAGGGGGTGTCCCTGAGCTGAGTAGTTTTATTCAAGCTTGACTCAAGCTTGGACATATACTGCAGAAGCAAGATGTGCTAAGTTTTATACTCTACCCATGTTCCATTTTATGTAAAATAAAAAGCATGCAGTTTAGGTAGTGCTATATAGAAGTGGAAGATGCCTGTTATGACTGTACAACCTGTTGGGTGATTTTTGTGTCTATCTCAGTCTTTCACCCCATTTCTAAAATTTGCTATATCATATAGTCTATGATAGGAGAGCCTACATCTTATGCTTTAGGACCAAAAACCTCAGTAACAAGTGCCAACATAAAAGCAAAAAAGATGGTTCAATCAGGTTTGTGTGTTATGTGTCTTCAGGGTGCCTGTAGACTTTTCGCAGGGCCCTTCTACACTACCATATAAAATACAGATTGTCTGCTTTTAACTGGATTATATGGCAGTGTAGAAGGGGGCTCAGACAAAGAATACTCAAATGTGATTTTTCTAATTCCTTTCTCTGAAATATAGCCTACAGACCCAGCGATTCCTTGGTGGTCTCCCTTCCAAGTGCTAAACAGACTTGTTGAGCTTCCAAGATCACAAAGGATCTGGTGCCTTGAGATAATGCAGTTTAGGTAGCGCTATATAGAATTCATGTGCTTAGACCTCTAGTGACTCCCCAAACTACAAGCCCCATAATTGACTAGTGAATCAATTCCACCAATTCATTGTGTCTACTCTGTTTGGGACAGCATCCCACAACATCCCACTATCAATATTGCTTTCCTCTTTTATTTCAAGAGTTGGGCACCTTCCAGTGCTCAGAAGTCACAGTGCTTTGGCTGCCATTTCAAGAAGCTGGAAGTTAGGTTGAATCTTTCTTGGTTAATTATTTGGCTTTAGAGGTTCTGTTTTAGAATGAGAGAAATTGTTGTTATGAAAATATGAAATGGAGGAGGAACAGGTGAAAGATTGTATGGTTAAGTGGGCATACAGAAATACTGGGCACAAATATGACTTTAGAAGAAATTGTTAAAGTTAAATTTAAAATGAAATCTTAACTCTATGCTTGGGATGTTAGATGAGTAACTCGATAGAAAATATGGAAGGTTATTGCCATACATGATAACAGCAGCAGGAATTACCTATGCTCAAAGATAGTCTCATTTCATCTCAAGATGATTGGTTTATGAAAATAAGTAAACTTGCAGAAATTGATAAATTTACTACATTGATTGAGAAATCTCTAACTTTAAGGAAGCCTGGGACCTATTTATTGTGTCCCTCGAGCAAATATGGGACCAAATCTCCATCACTTTTTTTTGGTCTAGAAGTGTGTTATTATGTGGGGAAAGGATGTACCAATGGCTCCTTTTTACTAAATGACTGTAGAAAATTGAGAGAATATAACCATAAGACACAAAATGTAAATCCCTTAGATTAGCTAACATATTTTATTTATTTTATTTATTTACGACATTTATATGCCGCCCTTCTCACCCCGAAGGGGACTCATAGATTGTTTGTAGTTTGTAATTATTGGATTTTTTTACTATTTAGGATGTTGTAGTATTATTCTAGAAAAAAGTATTTTTAATATTTTGTTTTGTTTTTTGTATGTAAGTTTTGTTTTACTCTGTCTTGATAAAAATAATCATAAAAAATAGAATGGGGGAACTGAAACTGTGAAATTAGTCATTCAAGAGTATTTTTCCCATCCCCAAATGCTGGGCTTTCATGTTGTATATTTAGGGGTGTCATTATGAGTCCCAAGGATCCCCCTACAACATTATTCAAATAAATGTTGGGTGCAGCTGAAAGAGTATGTATATTAAGAGATATTTGGGAAATGTGTAAGCTGAAGTATGAAGGGCTGAAATAGGCATGGAGAAAGACCAAGAGCCATGGTGTAGTTTTCATCTGAATACCAAAAGCAAGTTTTCTCAATTTTAGTTTTATACTAACTATATTCAAGAATTTTAACTTGACTCTGGAGCCAAAACTAGAGATTACAGGGAATACACAACTGTCTGCTTTTCTCCTCCTCTTCTCCCTCTGTTCCATGCAACTTTAATAATTAAAAACATGTTTTGCATTGCACATTTTTATTATTAGATGTTAACTGAGAGGATGCGGAAAATGAGACAAATAGGTCTGTTCAATATCATCCACAATTTCTCTGACTTCTACTTCTGGTCTAAGAACTGTTTGGTTTGTTTTCAGATCTTAGTGATCAGTTGGTAGAAGTAGTTGGTTTGGAAGGTGCCATGGAGATGGGCCAAATATACACTGGGCTGAAAAGTGCCGGAAAACGTCTTGCTCAATGTTCATCTGTTATTATCAGGTACGAAAGTATGTGTATCTCCCTACATAAATGTAAATGTGTTAATAATGGTCAACAAAGCAGTTGGGATCTTATAGTACAAGGGTCCTCAAACTAAGTCCCGCAGGTCGGATGCGACCCTCCACGGTCATTTACCTAGTCCTTGCCTTAAACTTTATACTTAGGGTTACGCTAACCTTGAAGACACACAATTGTAATTAACTTGAGTATGTCATCAGCCAAAAGCAGACCAACACTTCCCATTGAAATACTGGTAAGTTTATGTTGGTTAAATTTGTTCTTCATTTTAAATATGGTATTGTTCCTTCATATAATAAGATGTATGTAGTGTGTATTGGGTTTCGTTCATTTGTTTCAAACTATAGTCCGCCTCCCCCCCCCCCCCCCCCCCCCCCCCCCCCCCCCCACACATAGATAGGCACTTGAAAAGTAAGTTCATTGCCCTTTTCACTGTATGGGGTTTACATGGAATAGGTGGTGGTGAAACATGTACAAGGGCAATCTGAACATTATAAAGACTTTCAACTTCAGCCCCTGAAGGTTACTATCATGAAGGTTATGCTTCCTAAAGGGTGACAGAAGGGCCACATGCAGAGAAGAGGCTGACTAGTGACTTGCATCACTTAATAGGTTAGGTGCAAGCACAACAGTGCCTTTGTGCACCAAATGTGCACAGCACCCCCCTTCATTGATTTGGCAGGGAGGGTAACTGAGTCTGCAGGTGTTGAAGCCAGCCATTCTTCAATCCACTTTCTCAATGTTTTCAAAGAGGCACTGGTTATTGTGTCTCCTTCAAGTCTAAAATGATTTAAAGGTGAACCCAGTGTTTTCTTGGCATGATTTGTTCAATAACAGCTTCCTTTTTGTCTTCCTCTGAGGCTGATTCAGTTCAAACCCACCCAATGGGTTTTCATGGCCAAGTAGGAATTAGATGTCCACAGTCATAGTCCAGCAGTCTAACCGGTACATCACACTGGCTCCCTGACTCACAGTAGAAAGATATATTGAAGCAATTCTATATGCTTCAAAGGTTGACTGAGGCAAGAATTGGTTGCCTGTCAATGTTTAACTGACAGTGTTTGAAAGTGAGGGATGTTGTCAGTGGTTATGTTACCTGAGTGAATTTGGGAGTTGTAAATGGTAACTTTTTCAAGCTGTCTTTCTAGATCCATGCATAGTAGTTATTGTGATGAGGTAAGGTACGTTTCTAAGTTTAGTAGGGCAAGCCTTAAAATGACACCTGTGGTTCTTTGTGATACATGTACAATGTAGGATGTTTCCAGGTGGAATGGGGGAGTGTGTTTTCTGCTTAGAAGAGTAACTTTGTTTTTTCTGGACACTACTTTTTTTCTTTACCTCTTTTCCTTTAGGACCACCAAGGCTCTGCCAATGCAGGTTGATGGGGAACCATGGATGCAAACACCTTGCACAGTAAGTATAACAGATAAAATTGGTGAGGAGAATGAGAGTATCATAAAGACATTTGCTATAGTGTGTGAAATGAAACATATTATCTCCTCAATATTTCAGAATCCTTTCACACTGCAAAATTATAGAGCTGTGATTCCACTGTAACTGCAGTAATATGATCCTATGGAATACTAGGATTTATAGTTTACAATTCTCTACTAGAGAGTTATAGTGTCTTACCAAACAGAAAACCCCAGGATTCCATAGAATGTACCCACAACAGAATTAAGTATCCAAAATCTAAATAAACAGGGCAAACCTTTTGGTGGGTAATGTATGCCATTCAAGATGACAGGAAGGTTTCTGTGCAGCTTTCAGTCGATTTTGGCTCCCATGCCATTGTAGAAATGCATCCAATCTGGGATTCAATGCAAACAAAAGACTATTCGAAGTCCAGGCCTTTTCTACACGAAGCAAAAAAAAAATGGTGTACAAAATGACAGAAAATAAAATTTCTCTACCAGAAACAGAAACCACACAAAGTCCCACATCTCAAAGATTCTCTACATGGAGGAACTTTCCTCATTGTATTTTTCCAGCACATAGGAAACCACATTTTCTACTCCCAATTTGATTTTTAAATATCCCCTCCCAGTAAATATCAGGAAAAGATGAATAAATAGGCATGTGTTCCTAAGGCAATATGTTATTTCAGTGGTGCTGAACCAATGGCATCTCCAGAAAGAATGAAAATAAATGCTGGTGTAGAAATTGATGTAAATATACCCTCCAGAAGGGGAATTATAACTCTATGATATGGGTCTAAAAAAGGTAAAAGTCTGACTATATGAAGTGTGCCTAGACATTATAAGGTTTGTGTAAGCTGTGCCATTTAAAACAGCATGTTTATTTGTGTTATTTGTGTTAAAAGAATACATAATAGTTATCAAGCTACAACTTATAGTCCTGCTCTATCTTCTGATAAACCAAGCCTACAGAAATACTTACATTGGGGTATGAATGTTTCTCTGATTAATCTAGCTGTGGTGGGAGTTAAGAGCCCAACGTCTAGAAAACCTGTAAATTGTTCACCTCCAAGGTAAAGAATTCCAATACGTGCCTGATCTGAACTGGTTATGCTCATTGAGGTCCTTTGTTTGTATGGTCTCATGGCCTCTTCGAATTAAAAATTGTAATGGCAGAGAACAATAAAAAGAAAATAAAGGTACCTTTTCACAAAATAAATCCACATACTCATAGTAACATAAGAAGACAGTACATTGTCAGTCTCTCATAGATTAACAAGAAGAGGACTAAGAAATGACATCGCAGATCACAATATAGATTACACTACATACGTTCATAAGTTTCAGGGACACCTATGTTACATTGGCACAGTGTGTGCTGAAATGGGCCTCTTCTAACTGCCTGGAGGTGCTCCTGTAGTTGGAACATTGAGTTTCCTAAGGATAAACTGCTAAAATGAGATCAGTGGAAATGCCATAAATAGATAGAACTCTGCTTTTACTCAATAGCATTGTGTTTGGTAACCCAAACAGGTATTTCATGACGTCATTCCATTATTGGGAGAAATATAAAACCTATATTCTTATCTAAAATTTCATCTGCTTCTAAGGCCAAAGGAATAGTTGCAAGTCTAAGCAGAGTTGAAAGAGATCCCTGTCCAATGTGACCACTTCTTATCATATGAACTAGGTTTCTTTTGCATATGGGATACTAACTCTGGGCTGCAGTGTGTTTGGGAACTCTTTGGTGACAAAATTTGATGATTCCGGCACAGTGCTTGGGTACAATCCACTCATCTTCCCAAATCAAAGCTGCTCAGAAGTGATAGAGTCAATCCCTGATCCTAGGAAGAATGTTATAGAGTAGAAGAAATAATATAACTAACTACATATAAACAGTTAATGTACAAACTTGTCTATATCTTACTTAACTTTGTAGGAACTTCTCTTGTTTGCATACATTTGAAGCTTGACACTATTAGGTAAACAGGTATTATTTTGGTATGCCTCCCATTATAATGTGCATAGATTATTTTTGTTTACCTATGCACATTTTTTTCATAATTACACAACAGGTTCTTCTTCATCATCTTTGTATAATTGACAATGCAATTTACTGCATGTGTGCTTTCTGCACCTTTGACAACTGTGCCGAGATGTAATCACCTATCTTTCCAGTTCAGAATGTTAAGAAAAGAATTAGTTGTGACTAATTGCCAATTAATTTACAGTGGTTTAAAGGTGGGGGAGGGGCAAAACAATTGCACCTACTAATTAAATTTAAAATATTCCAAAGTGTCATCTTTTGGTGTCTATGGAATACATAATTTTCAGTTAGGTTCTTTGCTGGATCCTGTAACAACCCCAAGCTTGACAACTTTATTAATTTAAAAACTCAGCAATACCTATTAGTATAAAACATGAAAAATGTCATTAATCATTTATTTTAATTTTGCAGCTCTGTCGTTTTTTCAGTGTGTTTACAAATTATGATGACACGACCATGTTTTCCAATTTACCTCTGTGAAGGGGAAATGGATCAAACTATTTAGGAGTGATGCTAGAGTATATTATTACAGCTTAATTAATGCCAAACTAATTAGATTTAATTTCTGTTGATGCAAAGGCATTGCTAAGAAATTGTTTTAAGTTAACTGTCACAAAAATCTATATTTTAAAACTTTGGAATGGATCACCAAGCAAGGGCAGCAATACACAAAGCACAAATCAGGAGCTACTGTATATTAGTGTGAGATAGATAGATAGAGTTTTCTCTGCAAGAGTTGTTCAAAAGGGTGGGTTTTCTCTAGCTGGATAGGGATTCAAACCCATTCTACACAGTCATAGCTCAAAAGTGCACTTCATTGAATTCAAAGAGGTTTACTCTTTATAAGGGACTATAAGATAAACATCTTAGATATAGTGATCCTAATAGAATAATACATACAGTTCTGGTGTGTTGTACATCAATTATTCCATGGGAAAATAAGTTAAGATGCAACAAGAGTTAAGAATAAGTTAAGATGCAACAACACTTATTCTGTTGAGATTTTTATATTTCTGTTTCTATTTGACTATAAAGTAATTTTCCACCCTAAGAAGCAGACCATTCCCCATTTTAATGAGCCTCTCTTCTTAGTATACACTTTTTTTGTTTCATTACTATTAGTGAATGACAAGTGAAGGATATTCATTTTAGCTTGAAAATGTCAGGTATGCACTTTAGGAGATATATTTTTTGCCAATTTTAATGAGGTGGTGTTTCTTTTTGAAAGAAATACTCATTTGTGATGTGGATACTGTGCAGATGACAACTGATATTTAATAAGTGATGGTTCTTGTATTAGTCGTAGTTCACTAAAGAAAATGTCTCAGATAGCTTTTGAAAAACTGTTAACGTCACTAGCCTAAAGGCAAGATGTGACCTTTTTATTACATAATGAGAATCATTTATTATCTTACAATGTATCTTAAAGTCACAGACAAAATGCCACTTTGATAATTGCTTTCAATTAGCTTTGAGCATAGCATACATTCATAAAATGTCTTCTCTAATTTAGACTTGAATTAGAGAAAATTGGAGACATAATCTATGCTAAGGTTGTCTCATTTAAGGTGATTTCTAGTTTTATATCAAAGAAATCAAAGTGGGTAGCTATAAAGTACTCTTTTGCAGTGTTTTAAACAAGCCTTTCAATATTTGATTTGATTTTACTATCAATTAATTAACAAATTGGAATGCTACTTCATCATTTTTGACCTTTTTAGTGCATTAGATTTTGACTTTAATTTCTAGTGGTTATTTTGAAATGGAGCATTGAAGTTCATGTTAAGAGCAATGAACAATGTGATTAAGGGAAGTATAAATAAGACATGCTACTGTAATTAAGTGCCTATTTTTAATACATGATGTGTACAAAATTCATTATTACCCCATCCTGCAACAGCAAATTATATGAGAAACAGTTCCGACTCACAGCTTTGCCAAAGGTGGGATATAACAGGTGACTAAGGGATGAGACATCCACAGCTAGCAGTTGGAAAACATGTGGCACTTGACTTATAACTGTTTGGACCTGTATACAGTAACCTGCTCTTGAGAAGGCCTGGGATCAGACACATAGTGGCCCTTGACATCCCTAGTGCCTTAAGTCAGAATATATAGCACTAATGTAATGCAATTTCAACTTGTACATAATAATCAAAGTACCCTTGATGTACAACATCCATATTTTGGATGTTTTCATTTTTTTAAAATACAGTATGGATATCTGTATATAAAATGACATAGGTAAGCAGCAGTAAAGTCTCAGCCTTCAGGCACATCTTTTGTTTTGTTTTACCACTTCCAGGATAGGAGAGGGTTGGAAGGAAGAGAGGATGGAGATGGCATGACCATATTTGCAATTAAACCTTTACAGGTAGTGGCTCCACTTCTTCCACCATCACTAACCTTTAGCTGAAATGAGTGGTAGAGTAGGACACTGCAGCATTGGTGCTGGTGCCTGTCTCCAACCTTGGCCAGGAGGGCAGCCCCATTTTTAATAGCTCCCTTTTCTTCAATCCCATGCTTCCACCACCACAGCCTGGATTTCAATACCTTTTCAATACAACTGTTCTGTGAATAGGAGCGCAGTAACAGCAGCCATCTCCAATAGCAGTGGTAGTGAGGCTCGCAGCCATGTGCTTCTGCCTTCAAGGCATTCGTTTAGCTAGACTCAGACTCAAGAATCTGTGAAATGGGAGATAGTATTGATTCCATCCATCTGACAGATCCTTGTGTGTTTCTTTCTTCAACCTCACAAATACAGTTCAGGTACATACATGCTGTAGCTCCAGATGTTTCAAATTTTGGAGCATTTAAGTTTTGGGAATTGTGGATAAAGGATACTTGACTATATAGAAACCACTTTAGATATTGCTGGATAATCTTGTAAACATCCAAAATAAAATGTTTCCACCCTTGACAATACTACTTTAGAATTATAATTACCC